GGAAGATGGGGTGCTCTGGCCAATTACAGAAGACGGGTGTGAAACGGCCGCCTGTCTGGCACCTGCGGCCCCCACTCTTACCCCATATCACACACACACACAGGCAGGTTGAGAGTGTAGCATTTCTCCAATAGGATAAGCTGCCAAGTGGTTTGCTATTGTATGTTGAAAATATTGGTCCTGTATTCAGTCCTGAGTGAGAGGGACTCTGTGGAGTGAGTAGGAGGATTCACACATACAGATACTACAGCTGAAGATTCAACATGGATGATTTTTGGGTCTTTATTGAACTAAAGTAAAGTAATCTGTTTCCACAGCTGTACCAGAGGACAGTGGGCCTTTATAAAATTGAAAACTTATGTCTAGCTTGTCTCGTTTTGAACAAAAGACATGTAACTGGGAAAATTCTTGCACTGATTGCGACTGTCGTGGTCTTTCACAGTTTAATTAATTTCTATTAATTATCATAGTTGAGCTGAATTAGAAATAACAAGATTGAAGAAAAAACTAAATCTTGACTATTAGAGCCCAACCAATACATCAGAAAGGCCAGTATTATCAGATGATTTTAATTTATTATTTGGTTTCTAAATATAGTATTTACTGTTACTGTGATATACTGTAAAGTTTATCATTTAAAGCAACATGATTTTTCTACCACAAAATAACAACTTTAAAATCACTGTGATGCTACACTGACTTCTAATGGAGTGAAAGGTGCCTCTGTCATTCCCACTCTGTGCTCCCATAGGCTTGTTACTGCACTATGTCCCTGCATGTACCCAGTATGATCTCCCACAAGACAAGCAAAACGCTTTATGGCACTGCGTCACACACCACCAACGATGTCATTGATTTTTGGGAAACTAGATCATATTTTATGGAGAAAATGTTTTATGGTTTTCCCTCAGATGTCGTCCGGATCCTGATTGACAGTGAAGTAAACTGCTTCTAAATGTAGGTGCCGTTAGCAAGTTAGCTCACTTAGTTTGCCATGCTGCCGGGACTGTGAGTTTAGTGCACTAGAGCAGTGTTGGTGCTTACACTGGTAGCACAGGCCCTTTGGACCACCAGGAAGAGAAGGTTTTCAGGCCTGGGGCAAGAATGCTGACAGGAAGCAACGCCAGAACCAGCACCAGAATGAAGAACAGGTTTTTATTATTTTCAAGTATTGATATTGGCCTTAAAAATTCAGTGTCAGATAGATTCTACTGACCATCAATGTCTTGGTCCTGGTAATGGTCACAGTGACCGTAGAGCTGCTTAAAAACTTAATCCAGCAAGTTCCTCAAACTATTCTTGTGGGATCTGACATGTGCTGGTAGATGAAGTCTCCCCAGCTTGCTCTGAGTCTCCCTCAGGGTTTCCCCCAAGCCTCCTCCAAAGGAAGGCACCCTCATGTGGCGTATGAACCACATCAACTGGTTCCTCTAATAGGAGGGAGCAGCAACTCGATAACGAGGAACGCACAGCTGTCCCACTGAGAAACCTCATCTGACTCACTTGTATCTGCTTTCTCTTACCTTTCGGTCATCACACAAACCTTGTGGCCTTGAATGCATCAGGATTTCTTCCGTCATTATCATGGGCTAATACAAAGCCTTCATTACTGCTGCTGATGCACCTAATTGGCAGTCAAGTTCACAACCCTTTGTATTATTAGGCTTTCATAGTCTACAATGAGGCCTTGACGGTATTCCAGTGTCTAAAAGAGTGCTCCCCAGGATTGCTCTTCTAAAACATTGTTGTATTATATATTGATATCAATGCAAAAAAACCAGAGCTATTGCCTTTTTTTATTCCACGCATTCTTATTCCTTGTCAGAACCTGGCACCTACATTACCAACAATGCAACTCAACTATCAACAGTTCTGTCAGAGTTTCAGCTTTGTTATGCTAGTAGTAGAATATGGACAGAAAAACCCCAAGAGCATGTTTCAGCTTTTCAAAAAGACCAATGAAAGTAACCCCCAATTTATTACAAAAGTGCAACAAAGCCTAACTTGTAGAGGGAGAGGGTGGGACTTTACTCCTCTAAGACCCCAGGATACTTGAACTCTAGTCTTCTCTCCTAACAAATCAGAAACTGCAGACGTGGTGAAAGAGGAAGGCCTGTCTCCAAAAATGCACAATGGTGAGACAGCAACAAAACCCAAACCCCTTCTGTGGAAATCAGCAACCGACTGCACAAGATTTGACTGGAGGATTTGAATATGCAAATCCAGAAGGGCACAAGCTCATGATCTGGATTTAATTTAGTATGAGAACATGTGTGTCACCTTGCAGTCACGTTGTGTGTCTGTGGATGAAAGACAACTCCGATCAAAGAGGCACAGGATCTGGGGGGAGAATAAGGGGAACAGGGCATCATTCACAGTTGGATGTTCCTGTAGCACTTCATCTTTTACTTGCCGTTGCATCACCTTGCTCTCAGAGCTCCTCTGCAACTCCGATATTTGTCCATGTGAAGGTGTATTTTCTACAGCTTCTGGTATTCTGACATGATGATTCAAGATGGTGAATTAAGGCAATTAAAGTTAAAAGCAACCTCACTTTTTATACACCTGTTGGTGTGGGATGGAGAAGTTATGCCCTGTACTGTGGTTTGGGACTTATTTTTTTACAGCTAAATTGAAACAGGAAGCTGCACGTATAGATGTGTCTGCATTGACCTTTTGTGCAATTATTTTCAAATTTTAAAAAAATAAGTGTGTTTCCATCAACAAGTGCATCAGTATATTGGTGTAACAAGATCACATAATTAGAAAAAGCAGCAGTAACTCTTCTGTTAATCTGCATAATCATTTCCATTCATTGCATTCCACCTAGGCACTGAGTGGCACTTAGCCTGATAATCAAACTTAATTGCCATTTTGTTTTCACTTCATTATTTGTTTGACATTGTGTCCATGTTTGCTGTTTTCTGTTTTGAAAAGGTTCTTAATTTCCCTAACCAGTCACAAGCCAGTGACACCAACATCCCACCAACATCATTTCAGTCGACACAGAAGCTGCATTCGCGGTTGCCAGGAGCAATTAATGTTTTTCTCAATCTTATCCAAGTTTGTCATAATTGTTCTGGCTTTGGCACAGGAAGGTGATGACTAAATTGCTAGTCCTGCCAAGAAAGTTCTGATTGGGTCAGTGGTTTTTCCTGCCAGGGAAAGAGATATCAGTGAGCACAACACCAGACATATTCGAATCACTAAAAAAAACAAGATGTGGGTGGCAATGCAGAACTCTGGAACCAGGTTATACTTTGGAATAATCCCTATCAGGGTTTTCCGGCCCTGTCAAACAACAACTACTGCATCCAATTATGTTTCCACCATATTGTGAAATGCTTCAGTTTTCACATTAGTTCCACTTTGTTTTGGATTGGTGTGTTTGTGTTAGTCTCCTTAAGAAGATTGGTGTGTGCTGTGATGGGAGTGGGGCTGCTGGGACATCTGGCTAACTGACTGTAAGCTGCTGTATTACTCCCCATTAGGAGTCATTAAGACCCCAATTATAGTTACCACCCCCCAGTTCTCACACACACACACACACACACACACACACACCAGAGTTTGCAGTTAGGTTCAGCAGGTTTCAACACAGTGTGTGCAGTGGAGAACGGCCTGTGGTTTAAAGTGTTTCCTCTTTATTGATATTTGAAACATCTGAAATTAGATTGATTTGAATAATGGTTTGGTTGATGTTTGAGAAGTGTCTGAAACCTCCCTTCTTATTCATTTAAATTAGGACTCTGCATTGAGGTAGCAGGAGTCCTGACTCAGGGGGCTTTGAAACAAAGAAAATGCAGAGTCATCAGCAAAAATGTCAAACCTGACTCAACTTTTGCCGCAAAGCAACGCAACATCATCCAGAAACACTCTGCTTTAGCCAATCAGATGTGCACATTTGTGGTAGATTACTAACATAGACAGCCTTTTCCTGTTAATTGTCAAGACAGAGGATAAAAATAATGTAAAGGTTTCTCTGATGAGAGGTCATTTGGTGTCTGATAAGCAGTCAAACTGGACTAGCTGACATATTATCACTGGTATCTGTAGCAACAGCAATGCAGCTGCTTTTTAAACCAGAACCACTCCCACTCTTCCAGATTTTCTAACCAAAATGAACAAAGTGAGATACCCAATATAAAACGAACCATACACACAAGCAAGGTCATGCCAGAAAAAGACCTTCCTGTGATAGACTTTCGGACATACATACATACATACACACTCGCACCCACAGAGAGAAACACACTCTCATACTGGCGTTTCCACAGTCAGACATCACTACGTCCCATCTGAAGATAGTCTGCTCCTGCACACTACACACACACACACACACACCTCCAGCTGAAAGACACACACATGCGCGCACACACACACACACAGCTGGAAGGCTTTCTATCATGGAGAGATAACTACAGGCTGAGAACAATGGACCATCTCTTCTCCCATCTGGTGAAGTGGGGGATGAAACTTAATTTACATTTCAGATCCCACCACCTCAGGGTGTGTGTGTGTGTGTGTGTGTGTGTGTGTGTGTGTGTGTGTGTGTGTGTGTGTGTGTGTGTGTGTGTGTGTGTGTGTGTGGGTGGGTGGTGGGGGGGGTGAGGGGAGGCGGAGGTATGATAGACGGAACAAAACGAGATTCATTTCAGGGTGAATTTGGGATTATGAATTAACACGCTGCAGTGCTGAAAGACTTCATTTACAGCTAATTGAGTGTATTGGCTCATTGAAATGGCTGTTGTGTTAAAGCTGGTCTGCCTGCTTGGCCCCTGGGCTTGTGTGTGTGTGTGTGTGTGTGTGTGTGTGTGTGTGTGTGTGTGTGTGTGTGTCTGTGGGGGTTTGGAAAAAGCCAGGGGTGGTAACCTCTATATTAGTGAACAGCTGTAGTTCAGACGTGTGAAATTAGATGTAGAAATTATAATAAAATGTGACACCTTCTCCTTTCTCTCTCTCCTCTCTCTTTCTCTCCTCCCTCTCTCTCTCTCTCTTAGGTGAGAAGCCCTATAAGTGCTCATGGGAGGGCTGTGAATGGCGTTTTGCCCGCAGTGACGAGTTGACACGACACTACCGCAAACACACCGGAGCGAAGCCATTCAAGTGCAACCACTGTGACAGGTAAACATACACACTGTGCAAAAACAGTGACAGACATACGGTATACTTTACACTTACAGGACAATGATGTCCCTTATCTGTCAGTGACCTGCGTTCAACCTGCATGTCCCAACAATAAAAACAAACTAAAACAAATAGGTATCTTCTGGCAGGGTACAACATTAGCACTGTCTACCATCCAACTGAAAACAATGGTTATCTATTCAGTAATGGGTCAAATCTGAACATTCACCAGCCATTTGGCTGTTTTGTCAAATAATTGATACAGGACATCGGAAGGGGTTTCAGGTCAGCCAGTGCATCACTATTTGTTTTTGTCAACATGTCACAAATACAACCACAACTTGACACAGTAGAAACAGTACAGGTGTAATTAATCTAAATAACAATGGCTGAATTCCATTTAGCTGCTTCAGTTTCAGAATCAGAATCGGGTTTATAGCCAAGCAAGTTTTCACACATATGATGAAATTTCACATTAGGAAATAATCTAAATAAACACCTTAGTGACAAAGTACTGCAAATGAGTGAGTCTGAAGTTTAGAAGCGACGTGATCATTTTCTTAAAGATACTTTCCTCCTTCAGCGGGAGGAGCTCAGGTGAGATCTTATCTGGGCTCCTGGATGATAAAGGTTCAGGACCGTAGCTTATAGTGTAGTCAATTTAATGATAAGGAATGTTATTATCGCAGAGTAAGTTAGTTCCTAATGGATTCACATTATGTGGCAGCCACAGGAATGCATTCAAGATGAGCCTTATTTTCTTTCTGTTCAGAAATAGATTGGAAAATTACTGTTTTTCAAGTCATGTCATGTGGCCAATGGTGGAAGATTTTAGTCACTGATCCTGTGTCAGTTCATTATACCAACTTATTTCTGACCCAGTTTGACCTCAGTGGGGTGTGTGTTTGGAAACCAAACCAATTCTGCCGGTGGTTCAGGGAGTCAACTGGGTTGGCGATTCGATCCCCACCTCCTCCTGTCCACATGTGGAAGTGTCTTGAGCAAGAACCCCAATTTACTCTCGATGGTCAGGCCAGCACCTTGCGTGGTCAAGGTCGCCGCCATGAGTGTGTGACAGAGAGGCAAAACTGTAAAGCTCTTTGGATAAAAGCGCTATATCAATGCATTTGCCATTCAAATCATCTCAGTTTGGTCCTCGAGGTAGAATGTGTGGTCGTGTTTATGTGTGTGTTGGTGTATGTGTATGTGTGTGCCTACTCGTGCCCCTGTGCTGGCAGTTAAATGGATTCTGGCTATTGGCAGGCTGGTCGCAGCTAATTGAGTGGCACCAGATGCCAGCTCCACTTTAACATACACTCTCTCTGTATGTGTGTGTGCCTGCACTACCTTTCTGATGAACAACACACACACACACACACACACACACACACACACACACTTTTGCCCTAGAGACAGTGTAATTGGCTGTTGTGGGTTCCCTCTAGTTTGGGTTTTAGACATAAAACCCTCCAGAAACCCGCTGGAAGCTTCTAATCCTGGCTGAGAGCTGGGACTGTATTAGCTCCTTTTTGGCACACACACACAAACAGTATGTAGAGACACAACACACACACACACACACACACACACACGCAGAACACAAAGACGTTTAGATGCAGAGTCATATTGACACACACGAAGTTCAGACGTAACAACGACCCACTTGGACACACAATGACACAGACATAAGCTGTGTCACAATTGAAGTCTACATAGAGTATTGAAGTGGGATTGAAGTTATTTTGGGTGTTCAGTGCTTCTGAGGAAAAGGTCCTGTTCATTGTCTGAATGTGACGAAACTCTCCTGATAGAATAATCAAAATGTCAAAGGTGTTGACCTACGCTAGCGGCGCTGGTTGGTCAGTCGTTCGACCCACCACTTTTAGCCCAGACTGAATTTGTATTAAGTAAGTAAGTATTGGATTGATTCCTTTGAAATTTTTTACTTTTGAACTTTGCCGATCCCCACCATCATAAGCTCAAAGTTTCAATTAGTCCGATACTTTGGTTTATTCATCAAACAGTTTGGTTTTAATACAATGCGAAATACCATCTCACAGAGCGCTAGTGTGACTGCAGACACCAAGCAGTTGCGCATTGCTCTTTGCCGCATGATGGCTCAACTTTTTCAACTGGTTGCCATGCCTCGCGGTGTGACCACGGCAACCACTGAAACTATAGAGAGGGTAGTAGCAGATTTTACAGATATTTGAGTTCCCTAAATTATTCAGCACTTCATCAGCAGAGAATAGAGGTACTGGAGCAATATCATCTTCAAAGTTTATCCCGTCTGGGACAATAAACAACGTTTAGTTACCAAAACTTGCAATATTAATTGTGTCATTTTGCGAAACGTTTCCTCTTCTTTAAGCTACAACCCGCTCTATTTATCTGCGTAATGAGATTACAGTAGATGAATAGCAGCTGCCTGTGGAGTACAGACGGTAGACGGAGGTAGACGGCGGTGGCGCTGAGCCCTGCTGCCGCCGATCCAAAGTACAGAACGCCAATGTTGCCGCGGCAACCGCTCACTCTCTGAAAGCACCTTCAATATCGTTTTCACATTTCCAGTATTTCCTCCAAGGTTTTTTGATTTTCAAATTACAAGGTGGATGGAAACATGCTTAACATAGCCAGGATGCACCTCAGTCTGTACAGCAACACACACACACACACACACACACACACACACACATCTGTGGTGGGTGGAGCCCACCAAATATTACCATGAGAATGGCAAAAAGTGGCAGCCATGGAGAGGTTAACATTAGATAGAATGTTCAATCTGACACAATTTCTCCTGGGGAAACACACACACACACACACACACACACACACACACACACACACACACACGCACGGCAGTCTGTCATTAATCCTGCCTAATCAAGCGGGGACCCCCTGATGTTTCCATGGAGCTGGAAGAAGGAGGATGAGGAGGCGGACAAAAAGTGAGGAGGAGAAGGGAGAGTTTAGAGGAGGAGAAGAGGAGGATGAGAAGGAGGGGTCTGTGGTGGTGGGGGGTGGGGGGGGTGGGGGGAGTCGGCGTGGTACCAGCTGGTCTGGCTGCTCCACACCCCCAACAGTGACACAGTAACTGGCATGACCATCTGTCCAGCCCACACACACACACACACACACACACACACACACACACACACACACAGATTGATGAAGGTGTACAGTAGGTACCACACCACATGGCCAGCCAAAGGTTAAGGGGAAACACTAGACCACAGACAACAGAGGTGAGAGCAAAGTTCAACTGTACACTCACACCATGTTCACAGTAATGCTTTGAAATCTGAAAATGTACATGTGAAAGGGGGTTCTGTCCACACTTTGTGTACGCAACTAATGTTCTAAAAACTCACTGTCCACACTGAAAGAGCAGGAAACGCAGCTGAATCTCTCAGCAGCATCCTTTAGGCTGATGATGTCACTTTGTACGAGTGAACATCGACATATACAGAATCCGTCCGCACGTAGCACAGCAGGACTTTTAATTTCACAAAACTTCAGGCGTGTGGTCAGAGCTCTGCTTTAAGCTGATTGGCTTGTCAGTTAAACTTGTGAGGACAATTTCTATGCTCAAGTTGAACATTATCAACTGGTTTCTATGCAATTCTCCCAGCTCAGTGTGAAGCTGCTGCCTAATTACTGTACTCTGAATGAGGTTTCCTGCAGCATCTGAAGACTGACATTAAGAGAATGGATCACAGTGGAAGCATCTGAGAGACAGCACGTTTCGCTGCAGCGTGACAAACTTTCTATTGTGCTTTCGTTTTTCAGCTCTGTCTACATGTATCTGGAAAGAACAACAGCCTGCCTAAACACACACACACACACACACACACACACACATAGATTGCTTTGACTAATTAATAATGAATAAAGCCTCTGGCAAATTGAATTTTTAATTTCTCATTTTATTCTCGCCCACATTTTGTTTTGCCTCTCCTTTAGTCATATCATTTGTGGTTCATTTTATTGTGGATGTTCAGCTTTAATGCCCTCACAATAGTGTAATAAAATTAAAATACTCATGACATTGCAGTGTGTATATTAAACATCACCAGCACCTGGTTTTATGTCCCTCTCTCTCACACCAGGTGCAGTCACTGCTGAGTTAAATGACCCGGCATCAGAAAGTACTGCCAGCCTGTCTGCATTAGTGTCCGTGTTCACAATGCATATCTAATTAGTTTCTTCAATAGTACTCTACTCGGAGCTTGAGAGCCACGGAGGTCTGGCTGTGATTTATGGCCGTGTTTGAGTCGTATTTAGGAAATCACTGAGCTTCAATTCCAAGTCCTCTCGTCTGGGTTTTCACTGCTGTGACATAATGAAGTAGGACTACAGAAATTCGCTGTACATTTAAAATGAACTGGTTGAAAATCTCTGTAGTTCTCTGTATTACTGAATTTGTGTGTTAAGTCGTGAGTCATCTCTTATTCTGCCAATCTCTCTGTCTGGCTTCATGTTGAAATAATACTTTCAGTTGGCTATGCTATATCCAGTTAAATGTCTTTATACAGTGCCTGACATGGGCCAATAATCAGAGCTACTGAGTGCCAGCACTTAAGATTTTTGCCTACAAGTACCCTTACTTCTTACTGCGTATTACCACCTCCTGGTGAGTTTACCTATGCACCCCTAAACACCCCTGTAACACTTTTTTCCCCAACCTACCCTACCTCTGGTTTGCTCGTGTTGGTTTGGTTGGTTAGGTTTCGGCATGAGGAATGAGAGGGTTTGGGGTAAAACATGTCAGAGCCAATCAAAGCCAGCGTAATTGAATCTCTATGTACACATAACTAGCTTAACGATGAGAAAATAACACTGAAAATGGCCTTGTCAAAATGGATAAAAACACCAAAAGTGTTGGTTAGGGTTGTGCTGAATTAGGATGCTGGCATTTGGTATTCGGTCCAATTCAGGCACTGAAAATCAATGCCATAGCCATAGCAACTGTTTTTAAAAAGACATATCTATTGGAATTACTACTACTAATATTCAAACTTTATTAACTGTTTAATTTCTATTTAAACCAAAAGGCTAGCGTAGCGTGTACTGTTGTATGTTCAGTATTTTCAACAAATATTAGCTAGTTAGCTTAAGTGGCTAACATTGGCTGCTGTGCCTCGCAGGGTACTGACCAACAAACAGAATGCCAACTGTGCATCAACACTGAAGTTTACACCACCTTCAAAACACTGCAGCAATGTAATCAAACCAGAGCACATGGTGGATAGTTCAGGGGCCTTGGGACTGACAAGAATTCCCAGCAAATACCCAGAGCCAGGGAGTATTTCAGTGGGCCTAGCAGTGTGGAGCATTCCCAGCAAACTCACAAGAGCCAATGTATAGTGCAGGGGGGGGCAGGAATTGTGGAGCATTTCCAGCAAATACACATTGCTGGTGGGAAGTTCAAGGGGCCTGAGATTATGGAGAGTTCCCAAGAAATCCAGTGGGTATTTCAGGGGGGCTGGGAATTTTTCCCATTCACAGCTAATATACAGAGCCAATGGCATTCATCAGTAACTGTAGCTTGATACAGTACATTGTGGTTATTTTGTGCAAACCTCCCAATAGAATAGGACAATTGAGCATTTGCATGTCTGCCCATCGTTCATTTATGTAAGCTGTTTTGTCTTTTATTTGTTCTGCTGCGTCCTGTTTTTTTGCTGCTGCACTGACACAGTTTCCACACATTAATAAAGTTTCATCTTCACATTTCCTGTCTCTGATTTCCTATATTTTTCATGCATATTTGGGATATTTATGACACAGTTTCTCTGTTTGTCTCTGCAGGTGTTTCTCTCGGTCAGACCACCTGGCCCTGCACATGAAGAGGCACATCTGAGGGCAAAAAGAAAAGGAGTGGGAGAGGGAAAGAAGCAAGAGGAGAGAGAGGAGGAGGAGAGGTAGGAGGAGAGAGGGATGGGCAGTCGAGCTACCAACCACCCGCCTCGTTCACCCCGTCTATAAACCAGTCGGCGGCCATGACGCCTGCAGGGCAGCGCATCCATCTGAGAGGGCCATGAAGATCAAACGGACTGACGGCCTTCTCATTGGAGACGGGGATTGGAGGAAAACGAGGAGTAGCTAGATTGTTGTTTTTCTTTAAAATTACACACTCACACACTCGCAATAGTGAACACACCTGTCTTTGAATGCATCATCCCGGTGAACCCCGGCTGCTCTCACGTGGCTCTGGGGGCTTGGACACTGCCAAACCAACATATACTTAACTCACTTAATGAAACATTACGCCGCCTTTTTTCTTTCTCTGTATTCAGTGTGTTTAAACCATAAAGTCACTTTGGGTGAGGAGATAGTTCAGTGGGGAAACTTTAAATATCCATATAGTCAGTTGTTAGTGCTTTACCGGCTTTTGAAATCAAATACTCAACTTTTTTCTTTGTTTTTTACTGTTTCTCATATACGGAACATAAGAAACCATCATCTGCCGCAGTCAGCTTCAGTAATCTATGTGAAGAAAACAACAATGCCAGATCTGCAGGAGAGTGACTGTACAGATTGATTCTAGCATAGCTGACAATCGAACCCAGGGCCCGGACGCTGGGTGTTTTGGTGCACCCATGGGACCTCGGTCAGCGAGGTGCTGCTACAGCTCCCAGGCTCTCCTCCAGTGGGTGTTTGCATCTCTCACCTTCACTGAGACGCCTGCCGCCTCCGCAGGCCATCTGACAGAAATGCGCAGCGACACTTTCTTCCCTTTTTTTCTACTTAGAGGACGATAATTCTTCTTATTGTTGTTATTACAAAGAATGACACTTTGTTATTTTCTCTCTTGGAGAAAATGTCTTAAAACTCACTGAATTTTGTTTGAGAGAAAAAAAACTGAGAATCTAAGATGACTTCAACAGAATGTGTGGGATGAGAAGGAGAGCGTTGTTGGTCTTTTAAATCCCCATGTGCACCGGCTGTGCTTCTGCAGTCTGCAAGCAACCAGTGGATGAACAAAACAAAAAAACCGAATCATACCAACTCTCAGAAAAGGGATTTGTATTTTTTTGGACTATAATGAAAGCAGAGAGCGGAGAGGTCTTCAGTTTTTTGTGCTGCTCTTTCTGCCCTGCGATTCACTCCAGCTGAAAAACAAAACCCTTGCATGACCCTCCGTGGTCTCGCGCTCTACCGGAGTCAGGCGGAGGACTCGCTAAAAACTGGAAACCTGTTTTCTCTTGTTTTTTGGTTGTTTTTTTTTGCTTTTTGTTGATTCCAAAAGTCATCCTGGAGCGTTTTCACAGACTCACGGATCCCATCTCCCTGGCAGCACTGCGGGGAAAGAACGGAGGCCGGAGAGCTGCTTTTTGGTTATTCACGTGGGACTTAACGACGCCAGCCAACCTTTGTGTGGTGGCGCTGAACAGACACGGTCACATTGGCCCGGTCAAAATTTGCCTGTTTCATATCCATTGACTGCACTGACTTTTTTTCAATGTTATCTGTGCTTTTTTTTCTACAGCGAAAAAAAGAACACAAAGAAAAAAAATCATAAAAAGACTTGAAAACACAAAAACAATTCTGTCTCGCTCTACACATTGTATACAGAACAAGCACACATACTCCGTCAACACGCATATACACACACACACACACACACACACACAGACTTACACTGCAGTTTTTTGCTCACGGCTCCTCTTGAGATAAGACTAATAAGATTTAGGAAAATAATTATTAAACTAATGAACAGAGTTGGAAAACAAAACACTGCATGGCAGGCTTTATTGCAAACACACACACCAGCTCATGTGCGCACACACACACACACACACACACACACACACAGACATACACACACACACACACTCTTCCTGGAATTATATGTTCTGCTCCCAGATCTTTTTTCACAGTAGGAATTTAGCAACTGTTGTTTAGTAGAAGAATATCTTAGCTCTCGGCTGGAGGTAACAAACGATTCCAAATCCTTTGAAGTGAGAAATCAGCTTGTTCTCAGTTCCAACAATCACCCACATATCCCTCGCTACAGTTGGTGCCTCTCATTTAATCAGCGTTTTTACTTCAGAGACTCTGCTTACATTGTTGGTTACAATTGATGGAATAAGCCCCTGTTTTCATCAAAAATAAATAGAAGTAAAACAGTTGCACCAGGTCTTTTATCAAAACCCACAACATTGTTGAAAACATGTTGATAATCCACAGAGACCCTTCAATCCTGCCTATTATGTACAGTACATTTGAATGTCCTCAAGATGAATTAGATAGCAACCAGAAGCATCAACCCAGCAGGTTCCTTAGAAATCTGGTAAATCAGCTTTCCAATCATGCAAAAGTGCTGGAAGAACGACTGAAACTTTGGAGAAAATCTGGTTTTTAGGTAAACTGTCATTGGGATCACAAGCTCCTCAGACTTTTTTTTATGTTTTATGTCCGCGTAACTGCGTCCATTGCTGAAGCTTCCATTTCATAAGATAAAGCAAATCAACTTAAAGGTATCCTGTGATATTTTAGGCAATTGAGTTTTCATTTGGTTTATATTGTGAACACACACATTTATGTGTGAGCACACACAATACACATTCCTGCCATCGGTTTCCCGGTATTCCCGCTGATTAAGAGTTGGCGGCAGTAATGTGCAGAGAAGCGTAGGAAGAAGAAGACTGCTAGCTATAGCCAACAAGCGAGTAAACAATGCAGCATTTGAAATATTTCAGGAAATTGGCTTTGCTGATGTTTCATGAGGGAGGAAATACATTTTTTGGACCTTTTGGTGTGAGTTTACTAAAAGCAAACATAACTTTGTTTACAAGAAAACTCCAGAGGGTACCTTTAAAATCAGCTTCACCGCATCTGGCTAATGAAAGTCAAACTTCAATCTTTTAAGAAATACTCACATCCCAACATAACTTTCTTTTAGTAGAGACTTGCACAACGTCTAGGTTGACAAAAATGTCTCGGAAAATGATTTCCATTAGCATGAATAGGAACCCAAGTAAAAGGCTCTTAGCCACTGTACATTTAAAGTAATATTGTATATTTTGTTCTTATGGTCCAGTTACACCAGCATTTATGTTGGCGATATGTTGCACAGAATTCATTGGATTTTGACAGAAAAGTCACAGAAGATTTTTGCCAAATTTAACTTTGACTAAGATGAATACATTTTTATGCCAAAGGCTGGTGCGATGATGCTAACAGTTGTGTGCTAACTTGCTGGCTAGTAATTCAGCTTGCAAACAAAAAAGTAAAAAGCAATGTCGTTCTGCCACTTCTTATGGGCATGTGTTCAAAAACACAATAAGGTTGGTTAAATCACTTGCGGGGTTTTCAAAGATACACTTAACGTTTGAATTCTAATGTGAAAAATGATACATGAGAGGTGAAAACTGGGGCGAGCGCATATCTACAACGCCTGCTTCCTTTGTTCAATGGTTGCAGAAAAAATAAACTTGCCTTGCAATCAGGGCATTACTGATACCGCCAACACCAACACTGACACCGCTGCTCCATCCGCCCACCACCCCCCTATATGCCCCGTAGCACATGCAAGGAGTCTAATACTCACTGCTGCTGACTGGTGCGGCTGGGTGAGGGTGCAGGGATCCTGAAGCTGGCGGGGGATTTCACATCCCAGCATGCCCAGTCATCATGCCAGTCGGCCTTGCCAACCTTAATTAGGTGAAACGGTGAAAACATTCCCCTTCAAGAGGGTTTATGGTGCAGCTTCGAACAATCGATACCAAAAACCTCCAGCGTGGAACTGCCCTTTAGCCATGGGCAGAGTCTCCCCGGTCAGGAGAGATCAGCGGGAGACCGCCTCCATATGAGGTCTCTGTATCCAGCGGCAGCTTTCTCTACTAACTCTATCTTTCTGCTAAATGTGACGTAAAGCAACCCATGTTTGGGATGAATCCAGTGTTTCACTTTTGATTTAATTTCATTGTTAGGTTTCTGTTACAAAAGCTGTGTTGATGGTTGTTTTCTTCAGCTTGGATGATGCAAAGTCATGCCAAAATGTTGAGACATGCAATGGGATGTAGAAAGAGCCCTCCTAAACAGGACGTACAATCATAGAGGGATGGGGATCGTAGCACTTTTGTGAGGCTTTTGATGGCATGAATGTGTATATATGTGTGTGTATGTGTCCCCATTAGGCATACTGTGAGGGAAGCAGTGATTCAGCAAAGTGGTTGATAACTGATTTTTAACTGTTGAACACGTGTGCAACCATGTGGGACAAATGTTGTTTGGTACATTTGCTGTTGGAAAATGCTTTTAATCCAAGCAATGGCTGACAGTGTTTATTAGGTTTTTTTATGTAGACCCTTCATTCTTACATTGATTCATTCATTCATATAAGTCATGGAGCTTGATGACTTGAGTCAAAGAGATGCAGAACTTGCACTTTGTATTAAAGCGCACTAATATCCAACTCCTCTCTGCCAGATTAGTTGTAATGACAGTTTTCTGAAGGACATTTAGGGCCCAATATTATTTGTGTTTCTCTTCCCAAAAATCTCAGAATCTATAAAAAGTATTTGTTCAGATTATTAAAAATATCTGGATAAATCAGATCCTTGAAAAAACATTTGCGCCATAAACACTGTAGTTTAACCATTTTATACTTGGTTAAAGGTAGTCAGATGCATAATGAGCAGCTCATTAGCATTTTGTCCCCATTTGTCTTGTCACTTTGTATTACCTCATTTTCTGCTAATCCCACGAGAGGACCTAATTTACGGAAAACTGACAGGATGAGTGTCTTCTTGATCAGCTTCTTTAAAAAATCATGGTATTTTTAGATACAAATCAATAAACAATGAAAATGATGAGCCTTAAGTACACTCTAAAACGAATGTGTTACATTCAGCACATTTCTGTGTTGTTTTTAGGAACGCATTAAAAACAGTGTGCCCAAAACTACACAGATACACCAAGATTTCAATACCATTTAAAGTTTTTAAATGTAAAGTTAAAACTGTAGTGCTGGCCAGCATGCAACAAACACAACTCACAGTTCTTCACCTCTTTAATTGAAACCCTCCTGACATCGAGCAGACCTCAAACTTCAGATACAATTTCACATTCAGTTCCCTTCATGTCTCGCAGCCTGCTGAAGCAGGTTTTCTGTCACAGTGTTGCTCCAGGTCTCCTGTCGTCTCTCAGGCTCCTCCAGGCCAGCTACCTGCTGTCCCACAGCTCTGATTAGCATTAGCACTATCGGGTCCTCTTCTCTAGTTGCAGCTCAGCTAATGAGATAGCTCTGAGTCACAGGGAAACCGAGTGGTCTGGAGAAAAAAACAACAGGGACCTTGAGCCGGACCGATTCCAGCGCTCTGTACCCAGTGGACAGATTTGATGTTGAACAAACAGAAGATCCCGTTAGCATAGAGAAATGCCAGGAGACAGTGAGATATTTGTCAAAGAGCCTAAGCTGTGATGAAAAAAAGGATTTAAAAAATCATTTACCCACATGAATATCCAAATCATTAAATCAGCCCTTGCATTTTATCTCATGGATTACAGATTAAATAAATTACCATTTATCTGCAAAGTCCCAACCCTCCCTTTTCCTTCACAGCTAAAGTGCCATTCTTGTTTCCCTCCATCCCTCCATCCTCACCCCATCTCTCCCTCTCTGTCCACAGCAGTTGTCCATGCACTATCAGCTGCAGGAATGCTGAATGCACACTTTACACATTTTGCCCAAAGATTTGCATATTTGCAAGTTAACTGCTGTGAATGTAGTAGATGTAGAGGAAAGAGCGGCGAGGCAGAGACGCAGAAAAGGATTAGTGGATGGAAGGTGGAAGGAGAGGGATTGTTTTTCTTACATGATCGTCCCATTAAATCTTAATTACCGGTATGCTCCGACTCTTCATGCTTCATAACATTCTCAGTCTCTTGTCTACTGTCAGCTGGAGCCGAACTCATTACTCACAAATGTAAAATAATGTTCTCATGGTCTTATAGGGTGCCCAGTATAGTGGCGCTAGCAGCTTAAGCAGGAGTGAAGAAGCTTTAGTTTAAGTTAGCTTCTTAGCACACTGAAAATAGCACTGTCAATTCTCATATTTCAAAGTTAAAGGTGGGCTGGAGTCTCTGGAAATGTTAAAGAGTAGACTGTGGAAACCTATGTTACATCACCAACTTCGAATAAAACCATTCCCATACATCAAATGGTCACTGTTCATTGAAAATCCAGAAGAGTTCTGTAGTTTGGGGGTCACTAAAGGCACTTTCACACTGGCAGGGTTGTCCAAATCTGGGATTGGTTTGCCTAAAAACTCCAAAGTCAGATGCAGAAGCAGAAATTGCACCCAAATCCACCCAAATAATGTGCTGTCTGAAATCACTGCCTGATGAACTGAAGTACGATTCGGGGGCAGTAGTTTGTACCCAAAAAGGAGAAATTTGTATGCATGCATGTCATGACAACATTATTACTGTTGCAGTATAGTGCAACAGGAACTGTTGAGCTTTGGTAAGGGATTTATGCAAACATACCACAGATTATGGGCTTGTTGCACCAAATTTGCAACATCCGAGCTGCAATTTGCAAAGGTAGACCATTTCCTCTCACGTACATTTGCCATTTGTAATTGACCATCATTTATAAAATGGAGAACTGCAATCGGTGTTTTAGCACTGCTCACAAATTGCTTCTGTGAAACGGACAAGTGTGACAGGAGACCAGAAGGGTTAGGAGAAGAAAGGCAAACAAACTCATCTTTGGACTCAAACCAACAAACCCAGTGTGAAAACTGCCTTTAGACATCGTCCCCAGGAAGTTGTTTGCACACAGTCCTTTGATGGACCAGGCTTTAGTCTCCACAGTTTTCCACCATATCACCCTGAAGAAGGATTGTCACTTTAGGCAGCTTTTGTAAATAGCGTGAGATCTTACATACAGACCGCTCTGTGTGAAATTAACTGTACGTGGCGACAGCACCGTCTCAGACATTTCAGCGTTTCTATAGATCTGCTTTAGTTCTTGCAAACATTGCACTACATGATCATACTTAGCTATTGCACTCTCCATGTGCACGCACTGCTAGCATAGTCTGTTGGAGCACTCTGTCAAATATCCACTTAACATTTGTTACACGTCCAGGATGCACTTTGCCACCAAGAACCATTTACTACAGGTCCACTCATGATAGATCAGAGTGACATATCAACTTAAACCTCCAGTGAAATGCCTTTTTCATCACCGTTATTCCGGGGGAATGTGTTGTACTTTAAACATTCAGTCATGCTGTGACTTGGTTAAACTTTCTTGGTAATCAGTGGCATCCCGGAGTGACTCTGTCTGTCTGTAACTACTGTGTTTGTCCATGCTTGATGTGTCAGTATATAAGAGATTCACAGATCTTTACCCCTCTCCTTGTGTGTATATTTCACCTCACCCACACCAAACCCTCTCCACGAAAACCACAACCGTCAGAGCCCTCTGGGGCCAACTATAGTCTTCAGATATCCAGCTGTACTAGGAAGTATTCTCAAGAGCTATGCAGCTTGGGAGCTCCAAGCAGTTCTTTGGTGAGACTGCAATAACCTTTCCACCTTGCCAGCTAAATGTCCTCGGTACAGTTTGTTTAAGTTCAGTCGACCCATCCTTGTAGGTGCTTTTCCATCTCTGTCAGTTTATCTGCTCAGTTAGACCCTAATGCCTGACGCAGAGTTTGGCCAGATGTTCCCCCTCTCAGTATGTGGAAAAAAGATTGGTATCCAAAAATGTTTGTTTTTGGTACATAACTCCATAAAACAGTACTGCATCATATCAAAGGAAATCAACAAACTTAGTGATCGAATGTGGCATTCAATTTTTTGTCAATTAACTTAAAGGAAGGTATCGAAGATCACCGGCTGGCCAAATGTGTTATTTCTGTCACATTTTTTTTTCAAATTTTATGATCCTCAACAAGTAAAAAAGAAAATATTCAGAATGTGTTGCTAACTAACCATTACAATTACAGAAAATGTCTTTTATACCATAAAGTCTTTTTGACAGTTGAAGTATCAAAAACTCATGACAATGTAGAAACCGAAGAATCCCTGATACTGTCAATCAACGTCGCTTTGGTCCTCAGACCTTCATAAGTGACTATTTACGGGATTCTTTTGTTTAAATTCTTACTTAAAATTTAAATTCAGTCCTCCTTATTGGTTGTGACCACATGTTGCTGCTCACCAGCTGTTTTTCAGAGATCGAGGACACGTTGAAGAAGACACAGAACAACTTTAAATGTCTCCTTCAGGTTCAAGTGCCAAACAAACGTTTTAAGGTAATTTTGGTGAAATTTGACATTTAGAAATGTGCATGATGCTAATCTTGCTTGCCTAAGTGGATGTTGTTATAAAGCTGTATTAAATGGAGAACCCATCTCCAAAATCTCTGCTAAGCATTTGGTGAGTTACATATGATCATAATCAATAAGATGGATGGCCTAAATAAGCCATATTAAAAGGAATTACATTTTGGTGCCAATCATCCTGCCACATACTGGGAAAAGTGACCAATCCAGTGTCACCATTTAGCAAAAGCTGTATTTTAGCACCTTTATATCATCCAGGGTGTGTACAAGGTGAGCTCAAAGCATAATTGTTAAAGGATCACAACTAAATATTTCCTGGGATGAGTTGAAATGTAGACGAAAGAGAAAACAGCAGATGTGTTTTACGTCTCATCTGTCCTACAGGGGCTCTGTTACCGTTCATATCAACCTTCAGTCCATAAACCTTCACTCCACACCCGCCTTCCTCTCCTCTGTCACCGTCACTTCTGTTGAGTTTTTTATTTTATTTTTATTTTGAGTTCTCTTGTTTTACTTACAATTTTTTGCTGTACAAAGTGTTTAAAATATTATTTGTATTATATGATGTTAGTATGGTAATGTTCTTTATTAAGGAAGAAGAAAATTTATTTTTGTTACTGGTCTGTTTCATAATTCTTTTCTAAATTGGTATTGTAAGATATCTATGCAAGAACTGTTAAGTGGAGCATTTTTATTTAAGAATGTAATATGTGTAATAAATGGTAGAATCTGGTCATGGCTTTGTTGTATTTTGTTCCATTTGAGGTTAATTAGAATAACCTAATTGGAAATGTTGCTAAGCTCTAGTACATTAACTTGTCCAAGTTTGCTCTGCAGGCGATGTCTAAATGTGCTGCAAAACACATTTATGTTTAAAGGTCCAGTGTGTAGGATTTAGTGATGTGCAGAATGCAACTCACTCACTACACCCTCCCTTTCCGAGCACAAAGGAAGAAACTACGATGGCAGCGAAAAGTGCAAAAAACGCCCCTATCTAGACCCAGTGTCCCTTCTGGACTACTATAGAAAAATGGCAATTCAACTTGGTGGGCTCCAAAAATTTATTTAAAGTACATCTGTGGAATTAAAGTTACATAAAGGAAAATTCTACCTAAAAAACATCTATCTTTATTTTCATCTCAAGCACAAAAAAACGAACGAATATGCGAACATGGATTTATTTTCAGAACTGTCACATTTTACATCCCACTTGAGTTTACAGGCTTTCACTTTAAACAGGGCAGGCAGAAAACTCTGAACATAACCTTCTAAAATGACTGAAATCACCCCTGTATGGACACCCAGATGACTTTAATTATGAGTAACATGGTAGCACATTATTCTTTCATAATGGCCATTTAAGGCAGATGGACACATCCTGTCCAGCCGCTGGCAAGAGCACAGACGTACGGAGAAGCAGCGTCACATTACTACAACAGGAAGCCTCATATTCTCAACACTGCTGGTAATTTAGGTCTTTATTACAGATTAAAACAATCTCATGAATATCTATCGCTCTCCCCTGCCTGCAAATGGCTTCTCCTCGGCTGCTTAAAGTGTCCTGGTCTTTAATTAGAGCTAACTTGTCACTGACATACAAACCAATGACATGCAGACTAAATGAGGTAATCAAATAATTAATGGCTAATTGGGGATCAATTAAGCAGAAGTAAGGGAGCTCATATACAGCGTATCTGCTCTGTGAGTTTGTCCTCTTACATAGAAATTGCTAATTAGCTAATTAAAAGGGACCAAATTGTGATTGTATTTCTCTGGAAGGACAGACTTGATATTCATTCCTCAGATTTAAATTATCTTAAATGGTCACTTGGCTTTTCTGTAAATACAGACTTTGCATTTGCACACATGCTTGTATTTTCTTTGCTTACAGAGTGTTTAAGGTGCCAGATGAAGACATTTCAGCAAAGCCAACGCAGAGGATTATTATCATTTCTCAGCAGTGGGCTGTGTTGGCTAGAAAATGGGAATTCACAATGATGATTAGTGTGGGCATTTTGAAGTTTTGCAGGCTTATTCAGTCCTTGTCAGAGGTAGAGAAGGAAGGCGAGTGAGCTGTTTATAATCTTATTCAGCAGCATTAGCCTGTGTAGTGTTGGTAAGTGTTTACAGAAACAGCAACCATCAGCTTTCCTTAACAGCAGAAATACACAGAATTGTGGTGAATTGCTCCATGGCATATTCTATACTTATCTCCCAGAAGGACCATGTCAGCTCATTTGGGTGACTCTTCGACCGCACTGTCCATTGCCACCTACCCGTATAATGCTGCTTTGTACCAAAAGAGGAAAAATATCATGACAGCTGTGTGAAGAACAAAAGCAACTCTAAAATTATTCTTGATGGCTGAAAAAATAAAATAAATCCAGCAGCTAATTTAATGCAATAGCTGTGTTCCCACTACTACTTTAAAGGACTGAATTTACCAACCCTAAAATAAGATGAGACCATCAATATTAGACAATTCTGAAAAAACCCTGGATTAGAGTCATTTTAATGTTCAGAGGCAATGTTTGCTTTCTTGTTTTCTACAAATGGCAACTACTGCAAAAACTGCAGTACTGATTTCTTTATTTTTGGCTACTTGCGGACCTAAACACAACACCATTACCATTACCTTTTGAGTTGGCATGGCAAACTTGTTAGCAAACAGTTGCTTATTTACACATCCAGCGGTTACAGAGCAACATTAGCACAGATTTAAAGTCGTGTGTGTGTGTGTGTGTGTGTGTGTGTGTGTGTGTGTGTGTGTGTCCAATAGTCACTCTCTTTTAGCTCTGTTTTTGGTCTCCACCAACTCCTGATTAAAATATCTGTCTCTTAAGCTGCTAAATGCTCCACTATGTTCATCAGCCAGTGTATGTGTGCTGTTTGTGCCGGGCAGGTAGTGAACAGTGGGTGAGTATTTTTGCTGAAAACAGCAGCCTGCTGCAGCAAACATTAATGAGAGCGGTGAGAGTGAACTAAACAGTAAAGTCGCAGCGGGAGAGCTAAACAATCACTTTAAAGCTTCATAAAGCCGAGGAAGCTGCGGCCCTGTAGGCCCATAGTCACATTGTCGATCGATTATAGCTGCTTTAAGGTTAGGGAAAGATTGTGGTTATAGCAAATTAAGTATGGTTAATGTATGGTTTAGGTTAGGCAACTAAAAGCTTGGTTTAGGTTAAAGACAGCTCACATACAATAAAAACATGAATGTTAATTGCGGGTCTGTGACAAGAGGTGAACTCCAGTCTCCTACGTGAAAGTCAAACACACTGCACCATCTACCACCACGACCTCAACACCTCTACTTTCTGCTTCACTTCATAAAGGGCACATTACTTCTTCCATCGGCACTGGACATAAATCATGTGGCACGAAATCCTCCCATTCCAAGGGTTACTCGGCTGGTTGTACCATAGCCTCGCTGCAGTGTTGCAGAAGTGTACATCACTGTTGGGTTAACCATTAGAGGTCAGTCAAACAATGCTGTTAAGCCTCGTGTTACAGTAAGTTATCCTTCTAGGTTATTAGCCACAAAACAGCTACAGTTAGTGTGCAGTTGTAACTTACAGTGTGTGAGCAATGAGGAGGAAGACTTCTTCTCACCTCTAACGTGACCAGGTGTAATTCATACCTTTGGATTATAAGGGTGACTCCCCAGACACACCTCGCTGGTTTGGCTTCCATGCGAAGCCCATATGCTGTCTTTTGTTATTGCTTCATCGATGTCCGGTAGCCCGCCTCAAAATGTGTCACTTTTTATCCTTTTAGAAAGTGCTCTGCTGAATGTGTACTGCTTTAGATTGGTTTACAATTGTTGTACCACATTTCAAGTAGTCTCCTACAGAAACAGACAACTGCATCCAGAAAGTGAAACAAGTCTGTCGGCTCGAAAGGTAAAATAATGTAAAACATAAATGGGGTCTATGTTTAATTCTAAACAATGTTAGTGGGATTTAGAATTCAGAGACGTTTGGTTTATTATAAGCTGTGGAAGGTGTGTACTCGTTTTGGTTTTTCTTTTGTAGCGACTTAGCAAAGTATCTCATCAATCTGAGCTGTGTGAGTGCGCCGCAGTCTGCCCAAACACACTGATCTAAAAATATAAAGGTACATGCGCAACCTCACAGCCGCCCTCACACTCACACACACACTCACACACACACACACACACACACACACACACACACACACACACACAAACCTCCACTACCTGCTTGTCTTCCTAAATATTATTTTAGCAGTGAAGCTTTACAGCCTCCTTGTTTCAACAAAAAGACAGAACCAGATTGTAAATTTACTAGTGGGTGTCTGGGTGGATCAGTTTTCATTTGTTCATACACAAACCAAGAAACTGATTTGGAAAGCATCCCTTTTTTTGGAACGCATCTGACCCTGAGTTTGATGAGATTTCATGTCTGCTCAGTTCAGTGGGCCAGGATGTGTTTTGCGTAGCTTAGCAACAAAATGAAGAGTTGAAAGAAAAGAGGAAAAAGTATACCTTCCAACAACTTACATGACAGTCAAGCTTTGTTCACCATTTGGGCTTTGATCAGGGTTAGGAATAAGTCTAAACCTGGCAACCCCATTATGAGGGCAGGACTTTGAGATGTTGCCTGCAGTCACTGCATCCAGCAACTATTGGTCAACAAATAGCTCCAAGTGCTGTTGCTGGATTTATACTTGATGCAGGAGGTTGATGGCAGTTTAGTGAGAGTGTAAAGCTTTACCAATACATTTTAACATGATGGAACTACATCGGTACGCTGACCCCTGGATTGATCTAAACCTACCATAAACCGGTCAATGGTCCGGTTCTAAAGTTAAGAAATGGTTGACTGAGGCAAAAGCACGCAAGACACAGATAAATGATTAATTATTATTAAACACTTTCCAGCAACAACTTAGCAATAGTTCATGTTATTTAATTGACTTTGTAATACAGACTAACAGTGATAAGGAGAAGATAATTAAGTATTTCTTAATACTGTGTTCATGTTTGTTTTACTCTCAACAATGTCCACCATCAGAAACATCATCTACACCATAACCCCTTAATAATGCACAACCATATATTCATCTGTACTGCTTATAAAACCCACAATGTGTTCTCCTGAAGTGAAATATGAAAGATGGAATAAGTAAATCAGACAATTTGGAGTTGTTGACAGAGATGAACTTGCGTAGTTTCTTTGTGCTGGCTCTTGAACTAGACTAAACACGTCTTGGACTGAACGTGCAGAGATGAAACTGATATCCATCTCATCTGACTGGAGAAGAATCATAACAGCAGCACTCCCAAGAATTTTCCTTTCAGCCTAAGTGTACACATTAGTTACTTGAAAATTGATGTCTACTCAGAAAATTTGCTGTATGAAAGTGTCCGTGCTTAGTTGCTTAGACAATAAATATTCAGTTTGAGTCCATTTGGATTTGACCCCCCCGTGAAGCTTTGGCGATCCCTAGTGGGTTGGGAACCACTGAACTAGGCTATCTGGACTGGATAAACATTTATCTGCAACAAAGTCTCATTTATTTGCCTGTAAAAGTGAATGTGCCAGAAATGTACTTTCTATGGATTCTAAACACTAATGATGATGATGGATCATTTATTAACCCTTTATAGATCAACAATATGAATGAATAAATACACAAAAAACATTTGGGTTGCTAAATTGTGGGCCCGCATAAATGCAAGAGACTGGGGTTTTTAGTTATTTAACAGTGAG